CTTTTGAGTTTGACCCCCCTTGTGCCCCCCCCCCCCCATTTGTTCTGTTTCGCACTTGCACTGTACCAGGCTCTATGTGAATGGATGTGGATATTAATACCTTGCTCAAAGTTTTTACAAAAAAAGTTGTCAGTGTTTAAAGCAGGAAATTTACTTCAGCTAGTTGTTATTCAAGGCTGCAACAATCTTCTTTTGCCCCCTTCAAAAGCTGCTGTCCCCGTTTCTGTCCCTGTGTCATGCTCTAGGGTATTCAGAGTTTAAAGGAGAGACTAGTGGTAGCTAACGGTGTCTTGGGGAGCCTTTGGATACTTACATAACAGGCTCTCGTCACGCAGTTGGAGTCAGGACCAGTGGAATGGACACCAGAAGACCTTGTCTGCTTCTTTGTGGACAGAACCCAACTTCATCCAGTCCCGCCTCTGTGGGTGAGCTGCGTACAAACAGCGGGCTGTGCGCAGGCTTTCAGAACAACGAGGTCCCAGGGATTCTGCTGAAGGAGCCTGTATGACATCACCCCCCACCCCCCCGGGTGCGTGGACAGGAGCCCACACAATGCCGTTTCGGCCTGCAATGCTGTGGGGAAGAGTGGCACGGGGGTGGGCAGTGTGACTCAGCGGCCCCGGCGACACCCAGCACCGTCCCGACACATCATCTGGGGTGACTGACCTCACCATGACGGCGGACAGAGGTTCTGACCCAAGCCTGTCATGCAGGCACACGTCCATGACGAGGTGGACGCAGTGTAGCACTGTGCCGTGGGGAAGCCGGGAGCTTAAACAGGAAGCCCAAGGCAGGGGGCATCTGTCACAGAATCCTAATAATTCACTATAGTAATATGATGCAAATGTGTCCAAATTGCTGCAGTGGCTGTTGTTGCCGCGCCCAGCCGGTTCCCTTTGGCGCCAGTTCTGCTGTCATGGAGCCGTATTGTTTTTGGAATATGACACAGCCCAAGTTTGATCTTCAGAAACCAACATGTTGGCCAAAATGAAGATGCCAGCCGCTGAGAGGGACACCGCAGAGAGGGGAAAAGCCTGCGGGAATGACAGGAGAATGTAACCAAGAGCAAAGAGATGTTTGTTTGTTTATGTGTGTGCCTGCACACGCATCGACTACAGCACAGTCCGACTGCCAATACTTCAAATTCCCAATTGGTTAAATATGCATCGAACCTCTAACATACTGTACCATGGCACATTTCTGTTGAAATTACACAGAGGCGTATTGAGTTCTGTGGATCATTGACACACTGTAAATATTCCCCTCCTTTGCTCCTGCTGAAAAACCATTCCACTCCACATACCACATGAGCGTTAATTTTGTCCGTGGGGCACTGAGAGACTTTACCACTCAGTACATCCCAGAGCAGTCAGGATACCTAAGCCCAGGATACCTATAAGGTTATACCCCCACTGGTCCTGTGCCGGTGTTTAGTGCCCTTTAATGTAACGTTAGAGAAAGTACTTGTTAAACTCCAGCAGGAGGTCCATTAGATGAATTATCTCATCATACAAGTGCCATTTCTCTTAGTGTCCTCTCCAGAGAATAGCTCAATTCAAGAGACCAAGGGAGAGACAAGCGGGGCACTTATCCACACAAAACCCTATTAGATTACTAGTGCCACATTGAAGCATGCACTATTTTATGCAAATTTCTTGCCCACATCAAAAGGGATAACAACAGTGTAGACGATAGGATCAGTGGGAAATTGGATGGGATTTAAGGTCACCTACTGTACGTACGCAGTGCTGAGGGAGCATCTTGGGTCACATGCCACAGCTAGCCAATCAGAGCTTGTTTACCATGCTGGCCGCCAATGGTGGGCTCTAATTTAAGTGAACATTTGGGGACAGGAGTCATCCTGGGATAGGCCCCAGTACGTGATCTTGGAATACATTCGATGAAGCATTGCGCAATGGTGCTGCTGTTAGGTAAAACAGAGCAAAAGGCCAGAGAATATATTTGAACAAGATCTGCATCTAAATTCCCCCTCAGCATTACTTTTCCTACTGATGCCGACTGGAAAAAAAGCACAATCCTATATGTTTAATAAAGAAGATTCCCAAACTAGTTCCATGTGTCCTTGTACACAACTACCCCAAAGTCACATCTAGGAGCACCAAAAGCTGAGCCAAAACAAATGCTTCGATCTATGAAATCATCTAAGCAAATAAAAACTATTTGGTTAAATTCCATTTAATATATTGTGAAAATACAACATTGCAAATGTTTTGCTATAATTTGCTCTCTCAAGTTTCAGTTGGTGGGGGGGTGACAGCAAAGATTTGCAAGGCTATGCATTTATCAGTTTTGATTTATTTTATCTATTTATTTTATCTATTTGTCACGTAACATTAAATATTGTTCGCACTATACAATGAGAGGTAATATCGGCTAATCTGCATAAATGCACAGGTAGAAAATAACTAGAGGATAGAAGAGAATCTAAATGGTATAGAAATGGTATAATAGTACATAAATGTGTATGTTTAAATATGTTTAATGTTATAATAGCGATAGAAAAACCAGTTAAATGACCATAAAAAAGATATATTATTACCTAGGTATAAAACTGATCAATCAAATTAATGCTTCATTGGGTTTTAAAAAAAAAAAATCTATCTCTGAACTTTCAAAAACAGGCAGATAAAATGATTTCATACACTAATTCAATAAAGTAAAATATACACCATGAAATAAATTAAAAACAAGGGCCCATCCATCCGCCTCCCGGCTGCCCACCCAGTTCACTGGGTAATAAAACATTATCAATTCAATTTTAACTACAATTTATTTATATAGTGAAATGAAACAAAATAAAATTCAATTCAATTCAATTAAATCAAGGGATGCTTTATTTGCCATTTGTACACATACAGGTACATTCTTTAGTTTTCACATATTCCATCTTGCTCTTCTTTGAAACCTGGCTATTACACCTACAGGAATTTGACATGTGGATATGGAGATGCTCCCCCCTTTGCAGTTATAGCAGTTACATTCTGGGAGGGCTTTCCGCAAGATTTTGGACTGAATTCAATGATTGAAAGGTGTCTCCCTTTACAGTACATATACTGAAGCGTGGAGTCGGGTCACAGGGTCAACCAATTATCAGGTGCTACTGGAGCATTTGAGGGGTTTAGGGCCTGTGCTTAAGAGCCCAATGGGGACGTGACGATTCTGCTGAGCATGGAGTTCAAAAGCTGACCACAGAGGGACTCAAGCCCAAAACCTTCTGATCTGAAGCCAAGTGTCTTTTCCATTAGGCCATGCGGTCTGACTCTACAGAATTATTTTTTATTTCTGCATCATCTAGACTTTTTTTGTTCACTTTAGTCGGGCAACAATGTTTTTGAAGAGCTTTCGAAGGTGACGTGAGCTGGTGTGGGAGCGGCCTGCAGATCTGTAGCAGCTGCTGGCAGATTCCTTGAACCATTCGATAATATTTTGTATCTCATATCTGAATCCTGGAGCTTTCACTGGAGAGTGGTGTTGATTTTTCTCATGCACAGTAACTTCCATATCCGCAAAGGTTGAGCAGTTTCTTTGCGATCAGTTACGGCGCCATTAAGATTGACTTGGCGGCACCTTAAAACTCGGGCATGATTCACGTTCACAGACGTGTATCACGAAGAGCAGGTCCTGATAATGACTATGGAAGTTTATATCTCATGTTGATATATCATTGATTTTGTGATGTGTATCTCTCACTCTGAGGATGCTATATGCATCTATACTTTGTCTATGATGCAACAGAAAAAAGATCAAGTTAGTAAAACATGTAACAACTTCATATGCTTTGATTCAGCAATGATTTAATATGATTCAACTCTGATTGGATACAACTTAGATCAATTCAAGATGCACAAAACATGTCTTTAGAAATTAAAACATATTCAAAATGTTATTTTTAATCAAAACAAGTCATATTTATTTTGCAAAACAAAAATCATTTGAAACTAGGCAATTGTAGTTCATCACAAGACCTTAACATGGATAAAACGTTACAATAAAAATACAGTAAGACTGAAATGATGAACTGATTTCTGACAGCTTTATCATTTTTAAGATAAGATTGTACTCCATTGATTCCAGAGAGAGATTCTTTCCTTATAAATTTGAACCGGATTGAGGGTTTTGAATCAATGCAGATGTATCTGTGACATTTAGGCCGGATTTAAGATTTCAATGGTATATTGATTGGAACATTAAATTATCTACTTCACAAAGATGATAATTCC